TAGTAGGAAGGCTGCTAGTTTTCAGAAAAATTTCAAGTTCCTATACTTAAAAAACCATTTAACCTTTGCCTTTTTTTTTTTTAAAGAGAAATGATTACCCGTGACTACTTTTACTTATTATCAGTTTCACAATTTACAGTCAACACATTCACGCACACACAAAAAAAAAAAAAACAGAAATTTTTTTAAAAACTTGTGTAAAGGTGGTCAAATTCTGATTCTGGTAAGTTCTTTATTAATATCTCAAGGTAGGTAGGTACATTATATACGTTGCACTATAGCTGCTTAATGGGTTATAGGCGACGGTCTGGGAAACATCCCTGAGGTTGATTCGAAGACATGCCATCGTAATTTTGATCCTCTGTAGAGAGAATGGCTCCCTTGCTTCGGTACTCGGACGACCTGCTCACGAAGTCGAGCATTTTTTCGCTTGAACTGTTTAACGAGGACAGATACCGAGCTACCTCGGTCCCCACGCAGATTGATCAAAGTGTTCACCCACCCGCTTACTGACCGCAGTCAGTGATGCATGACTTCGCCGTTCTATTTGGGAACCGTGTCTTTAAGATCTGTCCTACTCCGGGACGGTAATATCTCAAAGAAATCTCTTGAAATATTTATAACTGTTGACATTACCGTGGTAGACTTATTTTTGACCAAAAGATGCAGTTTTCTGAAGAAACATAATTTTTTTTTAACCGTTATACCGGTTCAAAAATAAGTTACTCTATTGTTATTCTAACGTGTCACGTTTCTTTTCATATCTTTTGAATGATTGGTTAAACAATAGCAATTCATTCGCAAAAAGGTATAAGCTCTCAATCTCAAAGAGAAATATAAAATATAAATTTAAATGAATTATATAATTTTTATTAATTAATTTGTTAAGGATGAAAAATAAATTTTTAATTGTATGGTATAAAAGTTTTTATATTTTCAGAAGTTTCAGCTTTTTTTAAAACCTAAATGTGGATTTTCATGCCATTCGATCAATAAAAAAGAGCTTAGAAACCAATTTAAGAAATAAATTAGATATTGTATTTAAATAGCACTTTATTTTCAGATTACATGTTTACTGATTACATCACGAAGTTGCAGTACTTCAACGGTCATATAATACGTCATATGAATTACTTAAGAATGCAGGGGATGCCTCAGACGATTTAAAAAAAAAGACTGTAGAAACTTAATTCAATTTTATTTATTTATATTTTTAAGTGATCAATCGAATCAACTACTTGCATTTCAAATTATTTGCAGTAATTTCAAATAAAAAAAAATCTTTGCATTTTCTTTCAATAGTAAACTGAAAAAAATATGCTTGAAATAATTGTTAATTTCTTTCAATAAAATTTTGAATTTTATTAGTCATCACTTTTTCCTAATAATCAAAATGTTTTTTAATCAAGTGATAGACAGCATTATGTTTCGTAGTAGCCAACTCTTCTACATATTCGAAACATTTTATTTTTAAAAAGTGCTGTCAAAATTAAAGATTACGCAATAGATTCTTGGCAAAACAATTTTTAATTGCTGGCAAAATTAAATAAAACTTCGCTAATTATGGTCAATTAGATTATTATTTCCTTGAAGAGATTTTGGCAGTTAGGATGCTTGTTTCTTTAATAGAAGTTAAAGTTGTAGCCCCGGTTTGCAGAAATTATTGAGACAATCTTCAGCGCCATCATAATTTATCAAAATGAAACTTAAAAGCAATTAGTTGGATACTATTATTATAAAAATAAGGCTTATCCTTACATATGTATCGGATAATTTGTATTTTCAAATTCAAATTTTGCTGTTTTCTAGTGTTTTATTAAAAAGCAGAAAATGTACGTTGTTTTAATTCAATTTTAATCATGAAATTATACTTAAAAACATGGTTGAAATGGGCGACTAAAATTGCAAAAAGCGTTAACTATTAAAATTCAAAATTTTATTAAAGTAAATTAAACTTAGCAACTATATAAAGCATATTTTCTACAATTTGCAATTGCAATAGAATGAAAAAAAATGTTTGTATATGAATAATATGAAATGTAAGTCTTTGTGATTGATACGATAGGATAATTCAAGAGATAATAAATAAATAAAAGTTAATTGAGTTTCTACTACTTCTTACATAAATGTAAAAAAAAAAAACCGAGAAGGAATAAATCCATTTTTAAAATTTAAAGTCTCTAAATAGTTACACATAAAAATAAATGATTTAGAGGAATTTTTTCTCAAATTTCTTACAATAATTATTGAAAAGATTCAAGAATAACCAATTTTAACAGTAATATTTATAATGATCTCGGAAAGATAATAATATACAGACGCAATGATAATCTGCAGTGCCCAGCGCCCTCTGCTCTGGAGCTACTAGGATTGAAGTTGTACTAGATTTCTTAATTTACATTATTCTGTGTGGAATTTTAACTAATCTAGGGTTCATTCGCACCTGAAAACAATAAGAAAGTGGTAGAAAAATTACGATGAAAATTTGCAGTTTATTAATTGAAGTTAATGTATTATATGTAGTTTATGATATCGGAATATTTTAGTAAATACTTTAAGATCCGAAACCAATTGATCTGAAATTATAATTTTAAAGTTAAAGCTAAGACTAAGAAATTTTTTAAACTGTTTTAATACAAAATTGAAACCATTTTTTTACAGCGGCTATCAAACTATGATTTACTGACCAAAATTGTAGGCGTTTCTTTTGTGATGAACGCTTTCGAATTGGGTAAACTATGAAAAGTAACGCCTACTTTCTACAAGGAAGTGCGAACCGTATATGGTATTAACTTTTATTTACAAAAAGGAAATGAAAATTTATTTCATAATGATAAATCTAACATTCTTTAATTTTTAAAAACTGAGATACCTTCAGAAAAATGTTTAAATATTTGTGTCTTTAGGCAAGTTCAGTATTACGAAGCTTTGTAGAATAAAAAGATATTTTAGTAAACTATTCATGAAACGCAGTGCCTCCTTAAGTAGTGGACTAGGCGGCAACACTCGTTTTCCATTTCTAAAAGCTATTTGTAAAGGGGGGGGGGGGCTCTCAGTAAACCTCTTTCAAATGTAGCTGGTATCCGGGTACTGTAAAATAAATTCCTACTATTCTTTTCTTATTTGTAAATTATTTATCATTAATTAGTAAATAAGGGGTAAAAAATTGTCTTATATGTATAATACTACTTATGTGTATAATACAATAAGCTTATATGTGTAATACAATAAGCGGCTGGTAGTCATAGATCGTTTAATTTTCTCGAAAACAAACCATTTTCTTACTAGTTTTTGCTTTTTCTCTCTTGATCAGAGTGTCCACCGTATCGAACAAAAATGCCTTTTAATGGAGTTTAAATTTACTACTTTCTCTCATTAAAATTTAGATTATTTGAAATTGGTTAGTAAGTGCTTGAAAACTTTTTGAAGTATAGAAAATGTTCCCTTACATAATTTCAGATAGTTAAAAAGTATTCAATTTCTCTCCTCACTTTTTTACCTACCAGTGGGGTAATAATTTTATCTTGAATAAGATAACAATAATATATAATTGAAAAATTATTTAATTTCCCTCCTCAATTTTTTTTATCTTACATATATTTTATATTTGATAAGATAACAATAATAGATATATTGAAAAAGTATTTAATTTCCTTCCTCACTTTATTATCTACCAGCGGGGTAATAATTTTATCTTTGATACTTCCAACTCTAGTTAAAAATTGATAGCCACGAATTTCGCTTCTTAGAATTAATTTTAGAAAAACATGAAAATTGTGTCTGCACAAAAACAATTTTTAATACTTTTTTTTAAACTTATTTTAATTTGAAATTATGAGAATGGAAATTGCTATTAATCTTGAGAAGTGGCATATTTTGAACCAAAACTCAGAATCAGAAAACTGAAAGTCCGAAATAAAGTGGCCTGCCTTACATATTTAAATTATTATTGTTAAAAATAAGAGGGGCAATTTTCATCTACCTCATTGAAAATGTTTAGTAAAATGATTTCCAGCCTTAATTACTATTCAATAAATTTAATATTTACATCCAAATCAATTTTGCAAATAAATAAGCAGGCTCATGGAACTCAACACAAATATTTATTGTAAGCCTTTGTCAAGTTAAGAGCAGAATGCAAAATTTAAATGTTAATGTTATCACCAGAATTTCGAACCCGCTACCTCGAAGCTACGGAGCGTAGGCTAAACGGAGATACTACTCGATCAGTAAGGCCCTATAGCATTTAAAGCTTTATAATTTTTATTAGCGTACTTTTAAAATTTAATCTAAATTTCGAAAAACTAAAATGCTAACAAAATAAATGTCATGCAAAAAAAAAAAAAAAAAAAAAAAAAAAAAAAAAAAAAAAAAAAAAAAAAAAAAAAAAAAAAAAAAAATAAGTAAATAAATAAATAAATAAAATAAAATAAATAAAATAAATAAATAAATAATGATCTTGATCAATTAATGCTCTAAAATAATGCAGTATTGCTCAAAATTTATTTTATTAATTTAAAGTGATAGTTAATTCTATGATGTTTTCAGTTTTCTGGAGAAAAATTTCTCACCAGTTTTTTTTTTTTCGTTGGGTATGCTGTATTTGTAGCGCGGAGTACCAAGACAAGCGTGGTGTGTTTTTTCAAGATAAAAAAATTAAATAATTGTGCTGCTGGGTTATGAGTATTTTGGCAAAATCACGAGTTTTCTAATCAAGCAGCAATCGAATGTAAATTTTGTTATGAGATATAATTTTGAACAATTTGAAAATAATTTACTCTCTACTGCGAAATTTAAAATATGAAATCTATTTTTTTTATCGCTCAAGATTACTTGTTTTTATCAATGACACTTTTAAACTGTAAGACCGTTAGATTAAATAATACTGATAATCTTTATTGATAATGATTGTATTCAATTGCAAAAAAAAAAAAAAAAAAAAAAAAAAAAAANAAAAAAAAAAAAAAAAAAAAAAAAAAAAAAAAAAAAATCATTTTTCTTTTCTAATTCGATAATATTCAGTCAAAGTTTAACAGCATTTAAGGATCTATTCATAAATATAAAAATAATTGATTATAGTTCTTCTGTAATATCATTGTAAAATGTTTTACAACTTTATATCCATACTTATTGTATCCATTAGCGTACAATCTTTCGTAGTTACTGATGCTACCAAAAATATTTTAAAACCACAGAACAATGAAGTTTTATTTAAATTAACGAATGCAAAAGCAGATGAAACAAATGCTGGAGCAGAAAATAATTTGAATCAACAAGCGACAGGTAAGAACAATTGAAAATTTTTTAAAAAAATTAATACTGAAATGTGAATTAGATTATGTGACTGTTGTTATTGAAAAGGATTTTCGATTAAAATGTACTAAATGTATCGCACCAAAGAATAAAAAAAGACTTTCATTTTTCAATGCAAGAATAATATATTTACATTGTAATGTTATATTAATTTTATTCTGAGAATTTACTCAGATGAAACTACCAGAATATGCAAGTAATATTCATATAATTATCTGAAATCATACTTCTGCATTTCTCGATTGTTAAGTTATCGTTTTTAACTATCTCTGTAAGACTCTTGGTGGCAGTAGCAATACATAAATTAATTTAACATAAAAGTACATTAGATAATTAAGGTAAGGTCTAAGGTACTTGCAGAGCTGGCAAATTTCTATGCTCTTTAGGAAAATTTCTTTCTTTGATATTTATGTTATGTTTTAATGCATGATTCTTTGTTTTGTAAAATTGATTTGAAATTATTTTCTACACCACTACATCTTAGTGATTCAAAAGTTCGTATGAAACGCCAATTTGTTCCAGTTCTCTCAAGGTGAAGCTTTTAAATTGTTGCCAAAATTACCGAAAATTCTGAAAGGTTTGTTTTTAAGTCGCACTATAAAAGTATCTACTTTTATATAGGCTGCATGCCACTCTATATTTGGGAAATGCGTAGTTATTGACAGTCCTGCATTTACCGTTTTTGCTCTATGATTATTTTAAAATCCCACTAAAATTACTGTATGCACCAGTTTATTAAAAAAAAATCATCCTTATCGAAATTTATTTGTGCGCCTGAGATCATTTGCGGCCCTTTTCCCATCCATCTTGAAATTTTAACTTTTAGGTGACTCTTTCCGGCAACTGAATTGCTAACTGGAGTGAAAAGAAAATTAGATACTGTGCATTTTAGATAAAGATGCGTCGCTACAAAAACAAGCTGCCATTGGCCAGAGGTTCATGTCTTCTCTAAAGTTTTCAAAAGTAAAAATTTCATCAAATCCCAATTTATGACCTTTTTAAAAAATTAGCTTTGCAATATAATGGTCTAAAAGGTCTTATCTCTAGTCAAACGTCTTATGGTATTATTTTTCGGAGTATATTATTCTGTCATCTTTTGAGTTTGTCTTGTTTCTGAAAAATAAATTCGAACACTTGTGCTACCATTTGGGTTTCAGAGCAATAGCTTATATATGTCATTATTTAAAGACTAATTATTTGTATTGTTAATTTAATGTGAACGATATACAATTGAAGAGCTTAATGGTTTAAGCGAGTCGGCATTTTCAGGAATATATATTAATCAGGGAAAATAACATAAACTGGATCTATCAATCTAACATTATGCGTATGTTTTAATGCAACGGGTTAGTTTTGTTTCCAGTTTAATCTTAATACAACTAATTTACATCAGTTATGAGTATGCATGCACGATTTTTTAAAAAAATTAGTTAGAAGTTGATAAAACAAAATAGTTCCGTTACATCAGAAAAAAAATCGAACATATATTTATTCATATTCTTTAGTTTCTTTGCTATTTCTGTCAGTTGCTTTTTATGGCACTATTTCCTATGAAACTGGTGTAGTATCAAGTTGCTAGATTGAAAGTTATCCTTGATGGATACGTTGTTAGTAACACGCTGAAAGCCACGCCAATTTTACATTGCTTGCCCGTCTGGCCAAACCGTAAATAACTACAAACTAAATTTGCAAAATATTAGACAAATTTTGCTACTTTTTTAAAAGGTTTAGCATGACATATTTGAATAAAGTGGTGAATTATCTTAGCCTACGAATTGTTTAAAAATAGTGCTGGATAAAAATCGACTAAAATCGACTTTTTATTCGCTGTCCGGAGCAAGTTGGTATCTCTGTATATATAAATAAAACTATTTTTGTGTGTTCTATATTGCATTAATTTCTTCAAACCATTTTAGAAACGATAATTATATAAAAAAAATTATATGTGCTTCTAATAACTGGCGTGACCGGTCACCGGCGACACCCGTGGCACTACGAACAAACTCAGTGCCGGTCACCGGTGATCCCCATGGCATTCAACGTGTTTAGAATAACACTAATTTATTTTTCACTTCTCAAGAGAAACTGCTGTTGGTTTTACTAATATCTTTTTCTTTTCCGTCTTACTTTAAGCCGTTGATTTATCACCCTTTGTGTATTTAAACGTTATTTGTGTATTTAGATGTTATTATGCAATTAAACATAGTTGGGAGTTAATTTTTTGAATTTTATTTCTAGTCAGATTTTGTATAGTATGTATACTACTTTAACCTCTTGCATACGGCGTTTAACATACTAAAAAGTGCTATTCTGTTCCAATCTGGTTCATATCGTAAGCAGAAAGTTAATTTAAATTTACATTTCATTTTCCTTTCGTAATATTAACTGAGTGAGTTCATAGGCATTTTAATGAATATTTTTTTATTTATAATTTTTGAAAAGTAATATCGTTTGCAACCATCTAGAATTTTAGATGACCATGTTTTGTATTTGCGGGGTTTTATTGTAGTAATTCAGATGCTTTTTAAATTAATAAATTCTATTTTACAGCATGTGATTGCGGAGAGAACTCTATTGGTTGCAAATTCATTGAAGAAAAAAAGATTTGCGACTGCAAAGAAGGATATGCTCAGGGAATCGATGGAATTTGCATTGGTATTTAAAGAAATCCTTACTGTTTCTTAATTTTTTTTATAGTTTCATATTTTTTCAGTAAATTCTGAGAAATAAATTTTGATGTATAACATATTTTAAAAATATTTGTAGATTAAATTAATTTACAATAAAATGTTAAGGTAAAAATTTTGTGGTCACATGCAAGGAAATCAGATGAGCCTAATTCATGACAGTGAATTCTTATCGTGTGAATATCTCGGTGTTACGTGGTTTTGTCTTGTGAATTCGGTTGATTTCTTTTTAATTGTAAAAAAAACCTCGAGTGCAAAAGGTTAAAAAATAGGATTAGAAAATTACTTTATTAATCAAGCTTTATTAATAGTATAGTAATTTTTAGTTTTTCAAGGTTAAACACGTTATTTATTTCGTGAAAACTACTTTGCAATTTTTTTCTTACTTGAAACAAATTTAATGGATTATTTTAGTATTTTCATTTTATAGGAATCTTCACTTGGAATTTTACAAATGATAATTAACTGCCTACAGCATTAAAATGTCATTTTGAAAAACGTTGGAAAAATTATATTTTTTAATGATTCTCGTAATTTATTGGAGTTATGCACCCAAGATATTTTAAGATAATAATTTTAATACTTTTATAGAGACTTGCAATGAAACGCAAACATGCAAAAATGGAGGGTCTTGCCTGCAACATTTTTGTGTCTGCTTACCTGGGACGTCTGGACCTTTTTGCGAAAGCATTTATGATTGTTTGCACTCTGATATGTGTAGAAAGGATGATCATACAGACTGTTCTTATGATGTGGATAGACAAAAGGCCTACTGCAGATGCAGTACAATGGAGTATAGATTTGATGCAGCTACCAAAACATGCCGAAGTGAGTCATACGCTGCATACTGTGTAGTATAAACCAATTAGTTGATATTTAAATATTTGTTTTAAGATTCCAATAGGTCAAACCGTGACAGTTAAATTGTATTAAAACAATCAAACGTTGATTTTTTAACACGTTTGTGATCACCTCTATGTATTGCTTTTGGAAGGAAATATATTTGTACTCCATTATATATTTAAAATATTATTTTAAATTTCTCAATTTTGACACATTAGAATTATTGTACAGATACAGGGGTTGGGGAAAACATGTAAACACCTAATATATTAACTTTAAGTAATAAAAATTCTTTTTCAGCTTAAGTTTGGAATGTTTTAAGTATCTCTTCTAAGAGCTTTAAGTGAGATCTTTAAAATTATGCTAGCATTTTTGAGAAGAAAAATCGTCCAAAACAATTGCTCCTAAAAGAAATTTTGTTCACATAGAAATAGTTTAGATGCGTCTTTATACTTTTGTCCAAGTTCTGTATATTTCCTTTATAAATTATTGATAGAGTTGATCACAGTTTCATTGAAATGAGGTATGTTTACTTCCTGTATCCATTTTTTAAAAATACGTAAGACCTGTGGGAACCTTAGTTAAATTAAAAACCTAAATTAATCACAGCTCTCTTGAAAATCATTAAAGAAATTAATTTATATTAAAATTTAGTATAATTTTGATGTTTTAAACAGCTAATTAAAAATATATCATGAATTATTGGCTTTGCATAATAAATCCCACAAAACCTGCCTAAAATTTATTATTTAGATATTTTACAATTAATAGAATGAAGTCATTTTGAATCGATTCAGCAATGAACCATCTTTTAGAAAATGAACTAAAAGTTCTCCTTCTTCCAGAGAAGAGCCTTATTTGTTCAAGTTTGCGGGTAGCGAAAATGTCTAGTAGAGAAGAGGTGGCTTAAAGGATAAGGCTTTCGCCTCCCAATGAAGTAAACCGGGTTCGAATCCCAGCAATGGCTGGGCAATACGAATTCCGTACCCAACTCGCTCCGACCACAGTGCTGACGTAAAATTTCCTAAGTGATCGACGGATCATAGGTCAGAATCCCCTTGCTGTCCTACTAACATTGGGATGTTTTCGAGGTCTTCCTCTCCATGTGACGCAAGTGCGGGTTAGTTCCATAAAGTAGTCCTCTACGAAGGCAAATTTTACCCAGTACTTGATCCAGGAGTTTCCTTGTCTTCTGGATGGGGTACAAAATTACAAGACTACGAAGCTGAACATTAGTGGCCGTAATTTAAAAATTTAAGTCTGCTGCTCAATGACAGTTGTAAAATAAAATAAAATAAAATAAATGAAATAAAATAAAATGACTGGTGTGGCGCTTTTGCAGTAGATTATGTGACTCATCACGGCTAATAAATCATAATCAGCTTGAGAAATATGTGTGGATGAAAATTTTAATTTTTACTATCTTGTTTACTTTAATAGGTTGTCTGTGTACATATTGGGCTTCTCAGGATTTAGGATCATTTAGCTGGTGTGATTACCAGCAAGGTCGACAAGTGTGTGTGTGCTCAGTGGGCTATTCATACAACCCACACAGTGAATCATGTGAAAGTTCGTATATGAAAATCCACTCTATATTATACCTCAGGGTTCCCACGGTCCTTGAGAATTTTAAAAAGTGGTAATAAAAATAAAAGAAATTTTGACATTTTTATTTCTGTGTAGCCACCACTAAAAATTGTTTTCTAAAAAATATATATGTGCACGAAAATTTCTGCACTTTACGATAAAAAAGTATATTAAAATAAAAAAGTATACCACCCTAAATTTGCTACCACTTCTTAAATTTTTCAAGGACCGCGGGAACCCTGTACCTCTATGTTAAATCTACACAGTATCTTAACTACTCTGGATTAAAATTTACTTCTACATTATCATTTTTATCCATTAAGGGGAGTCGACGTATATATAGGGATTTGCATCTGAACAAGATATTGCTTCAGTTTCCTGTCACATATAACTGTTTACACTGTGATAACTGTTAATATATATCTTTGACAGAACTGAAAACTTTCAATTTTTTAGAAAGTCTTATCATTTTGGATAAAAAATATTTTATAACAAAAACAAATATTCCTTCAACGCTAAAACATTATCACATCATAAACTGATGTAACTAATGTAGAGTCTGAAATATCTCCAGAAATTTCAAAGCGATATTATTGGAAGTTTCGTAGAAAAGGTACATCGAAAATGGTCAGATTTAGCATAAATGATGTATTTGATCCAAGAGTTTCCTTGTCTTCTGGATTGGGTACAAAATTACAAGACTACGAAACCCTTCCGACTCCCCTTAAATCTGTTCTATATTCGAGCTCCTCCATATTAAAATTTACTCTATATTATCAGGATTTCCTCAGATTTTTAAAAATATTAATTTAGGAAGTAATGGTCAAAATCACTTAAACTTATTTGGGCAAAAATGAAACAGATGAACAAGATTTCGCTTACCACATCTAATATAGAAATAAAATATAAGCCTTCTATCCTTTGGTAATCCGATGTCGCCCATGAGGCAACATCAACAGTCAGCATTCTAAAAAAAAAAGATTTTTCACTTTATTAATTAATAACCAGATTATTTTAAGTAATTTTAAAAATTATGTAAAAATACTGTATTATGTATATTAAATAATTAAGTGCTTATAATATAGTTCATGAAGCATTTTGAAGTACTCGGAATGCAAAAAGATTAAAAACTAAAATGTTGGAAAAAACTGTCTGAAAAACGGCAAATTTTACTTTGGAGTTTTATACCGCTTTTTAAAAGAATCCGGAGCAGTTGACCTTTCTGCTTAAGTTATCATAAAATTTTTAGAAAGATTCTATTTGATTAAAAATTATTTTTCGTTTTATATTGTATTAAATTTGATTCTCAATTCTTCTATATTCTATTCACTACATCTAAGCAATTAAATTAAATTTGTAAGACCTGAAAATAATGATGTATTGTTTATAAATGCTGGCAAATTTAAACAAATTAATCTAACCTTATTGCTATTTTTACTATCTTTTTAAATACTTTGTGCAATTAGGGTTTCCGGGGTGGCATCAATCAATGTATATGTTTCGTAATGATTTTTTTTAATTTTCTATTTTTAGATTGCTATTGTGAATCGAACTCAACGTGGTGTGGGTTTGATGATGACGGGAAAAAACTTTGTGGTTGCAAAAAAGGAAATTATTTTGATGGATACCTATGCAATAGTAAGAAAATGTACTATTTCAATAGGTTTTCTTAAGTGTGCTTAATAAATTCCAGAATCAAAGTTTAAACTTTTAATTTTATAATAATATTGATTAGTATTTATTGGGTTCCCTACTTAAATTTAATTTGTTCACTTTTTAACATGATTTATTAACACATTGAGCGCCACGCTAATTTTACATGACTTGCCCATCTGGCCACGGTAAATAACTACAAACTAAATTTGCAAATATTAGCCGGTTTTGCAATTTTTTTGATGGTTTATCATGACATGACATATCTAATAAAAGTGGTGAATTGTTTAAAAATTGTGGTGGATAAAAATCTACTAAATTGAATTTATTAAACCAAGAATCATAATCATTAAGTAAATTTTGAATACATTTTCTGCAATTCCATAAAAGAGTGTAAATTTTATATTTCTATATCATGTTATACGCTGTCAGCCAGCTGTTTTTCGCAGCCTAAAGTGAAAGGTTAGTGTCAGTAAGCGGCGACAGACGCAGCCTAAATGTAATTTCAGTGTCAACCACCGGTGGTTGACGTAGCCTAAATGTAATTTCAGTGTCAGCCACCGGTGGTTGACGCGGCCTAAATGTAATTTCAGTGTCAGCCACCAGTGGTTGACGCGGTCTAAGTGTAATTTCAGTGTCAGCCACGGTCGTTGACGCGGCCTAAATGTAATTTCAGTGTCAGCCACTGGTGGTTGACGCGAACTAAATGTAATTTCAGTGTCAGCCACCGGTGACTGACGCTGCCTAAATGAAAAATCCATTGTCAGCCACCGATGGCTGACTAGGTACTCAACATGTTAACTTTAATTTATTCACTTTTTAACATGATTTATTACGTAAATGTTTTATTTTTAATTCTATCAATGATAAATTTTGTTCTGATTTTTTTGAAGAATGTCTATGTGGTGATCATGGAATATGCGATCCAAATGTTGTTTTCCCCTCCTGCGTTTGTGATGAAGGCTACGCTGAACATCAAGGAATTTGTGTGGGTGAGCATTTAATCAGTTTTTGTTATGTATTTCTTATAAAAAAAATACATGAATAAGGTTTTGATTTAATTAATTTGTTTACGTTGGAGTTTTCCAACATATTTTTATTTCACAATTCACTTAAAATATCTAGAAGGCTTTGAGTATATTAATATTGTATAAAGAAAGTATTATTGATATTAAATTTAAAAAAATAGCAACTGATGTATACAACAAAGGAAATGGACAATTATCTTACAAATTTTTTTTTGCAGTATGTTTAGCAATGAAAAATTCTATTAATAGCCCTAATATTAAAAAGTCTAATTTTAGCCTCATATGCTTTTCACATTGGCCACATCATTTTTTATCGAAAGCATTCTTTCATTTTCGCCCCCACATTTTTTGGATATATTTTATGGCACATTTCTACACATATATATACATATACATACATATACACCTATATATACATATACACATATATACACATATATATACATATANTTTTTTTTTACATTATTGATTCGTCGTGGTTGTTAATTTTTTTTTTGAAACTTTAAACTTTAAGAATTAGTACACCAAAACCCTAATGTTGCTATGACTAAGAGAATTGTTTTTAAATGGCCGTATTAGTAGGCAGCTATGCTATTAAGTCTATGTAATATCTTATCTATTAAAATTTTTCTCTGAAATGGTGGACACAATTTTTTTAATTTAAATTTATTAAAATATTAATACAATACTTCACTTACTACTTCTACAAAAAATGTTTTCCGAACCTACAGAAATTTTGTGTAGAAATAGAGGGTGTGTCTTGGTATCATCCCCTATGTATGTGAAATTTTTTTTTTTAATTTACAACTTTATGTGTATCTTGGATATGTTCTTAAATTATTGTTTGTTCGAACATGTAACTTTTTACTAATGTTTCTTTTATTAAAAATATTATTAATCTGTGACATTGTTTACACTTTCATTCAAAGTAAAAATTTGGAATCTTCGCCCTTTTCTAAATTATATCACTCTTATTTTTAGAATGCAGCTGTGGCCAATATGGCAAATGCTCATATGATGAACACAAAAAACAAATTGGCTGTAAATGTGATATAGGCTATGCAGAAAAAATGGGAAAATGTGAAAGTATAACTCTACCTTATTCTTTATTTCTTATTAATATCTAAATATACGGTGGAGTCGTGGTGGCTCAGGTGATCGAGCTCTCGTCTCCCTATGAGATGACCCAGGTTCGAATCCCAGCGATGATTGGTCGATACGAATTCCGCTAACAACTCTCACGGATTACAGAGACGACATAAAACATCCTCCGTTGTAGAAAGTTCATGGGCTAATGACTCCTTGCCGTCAGTCTAACCATGGGAGGTTTTCGTGGTTTTCCTCTACACGTAGCTCAAAGCTCAAATATGGTTTAGTTCCATCAAAAAGTCTTCCTCGATGGCAAATTTCTGCCAATACTTCATCCAGGAGTTCCCTTGTCTTCTGGATTGGGTTTAAAATTACATGACTACGGAAGAGAACACTGTTGGTCGTAAACTCAAAAATTGGATTGGCTGTTCAATGACGGTTATAATCATAATATAATAAACATACGGTGACATCTGAGTAAAGTGGACATCCTTGGTACACAGAAAATTATCCATCAAGGTCAATTGTTAGTTTAGGAGAGGGACGCATATTAATTGAGTAATCAAATGATGGGTAAATAAATACATAATTAGAAATTAAATAACAATAATATTCCTTGGGATTTAATAAAATAAATAGGATAGCTAAAGACTGAGAAATTTATCATTATTTAAAAGAAAAATTGTGAGTATCTGTTAGCAAATACTCTTCCTTTAAAAATAGGAATGTTAATACGCAGTTTTTAACTAACAAGGCTGTGAAAATAATTTTCACAGTAACTCACGCAAATAATTCTTATGAAATTAAAACATGACAAAATAATTTATACAGATGCTTCATATTATTTATGTTATATTATTTATATATTATATTATACACATTATTTTCAGAATTCGTTGAAAAAAATTCGATGTCAGATATTTAGTGTCGTACTAACACTAAACGGTTGAATCAAATTACACAATTACATATATTTATTTAAGATTTTGAGAGATAAGATTGTTTGGATAAAATATTATTTAGTATTTTTTTAAGGGACGACAAAGTTCTAAAATTTAATGAAAAAAATAACAGGCATATTTTTAATTCCATGTTAAAACATTAAAATTTGTTTTCCACTAATAATATTTAAATATTAATGTCAGTTGTGTCGAGGAAACAATTTTCATTTTTTTTCTTCATCTGCAATGAAGTATTTACACTAGGGAACAAAGTTTTTATTACACTTATACAAACAATACTTGATCTAGCCTGATCATCACCTGCTACATCAGAAAGCCTCCACACGGTTTTTTATAAGTAGTCTGCTCAGACTATTTAAAAAGTGAAGCAGTTGTGCGCATGAACCCAAATTCTATTTTAAAAGTACTTGAGAGAAATTTATCATATATATTTGAGAATTGAATCGGTAGTGGTTGACAAGTAAATAAGACAAACCAATCGTATATTTGCTACCATCACTTCCTTATTTTTACAAGATCTATTAAATGGCTCTTTCGTTAACTGGTTTGCCTTCATGTTGGTCTGATACTTATAAGAAACCATATAGAGGCTGATTCGGGTGTGAGAATATCAAATATGATTTTTTTTTTCTTCGTTCCAAGAGTTGCAGATATTTTTCAAAATCATATTTTTAGTTTAGTTTATATTTTGTTTAAATGAGCAAGTTTATGAAGAACGTATATATTTATAAGCATAGATATGCACTTGTCTGCACCTTTGAGAATTACACTAACCCTGTACTGCGTCTACAATTTGAATTGGATTTCCTAACCTGGATTTTTTTAAATTCCTTGGAGAAAATACTAATTGTCCCCACTTTTATGCTACGTAAGGAGTAGCAGGAAGAAGGTGATAATGCATTTCAATTGATGACTATAGCGTTAGGGTCATATATTTTTTGCCTTTAGTGCTATTTCCAAAAGAGCAGACAAGTGTATATCTACATGCACATAAGCATATACGTTCTTTATAAGCTAGTACAGTGAGCAAAATAAAAAACGGACCTCCCTCGAATAACTTTTGATCTAATTATCGGGTTTGCACGTTCTCAAATTCAACTTTAATGATTCAAGGGGTTGACCATAAATATGCTAATAAATCAGTGCAGATGATACTTTTAATTACGAAATCAGACACAAAAACATACTTTCTCTGAATGAACATACCCCTTTTTCAACGGATTCAGATCTCTGTCCCCTACAATATAGGGGATAGCCGTAATCTGGGAAATATGGTGTTAATAGTTTGGTCAGTAGAGTGGTCAAAAGTCTGGACCTCTTAACGTTAATTTTATTTTTTGCGTACTTCGCCATATCTCGAGAAATTTTTAAGCGAATTAAAAAAATTTTTTAACCATAAATGAAAAATTCGTTTATCCAAAGATAATTCCATGCATAATATCACTTTTAGTACATATTTCTTATTTTTTTATTATTTTATTTAAGAATAGCCGAAAAAAATTTGAATTGTGAGGTATAATTTTTTTTACATCATTTTAAGGATGTAATTTTACACGGCAAAATATAAATTTTGAACGAAATCGTTGGAATAGTTCCAGAGAAATTGAATTTTTAAAATACGGCTTTTTCAAAAATTCGATTTCTCAGGACCGTCCGATCAAAGTGATCAGGATTTCGTTCAAATTTTGTATTTTGCCATTTAAAGTAGCATTCTTTACGATGATAGAACGAATTTTGTACCTTACATTTCAAAATTTTTTCAACTATACTTAAATAAAATAATAAAAATTTACTAAAAGTGATATTCTGCATGTAATTACCTTTAGATAAATTAATTTTATAATTTTGTGCAGAATTTTTTAAATTCGCTTGAAAAGTAATCGGGATATGGCAATGTATGCAAAAAATAAAATTGACATCAAGGGGTTTAAACCTTGGACCATTCTCTTGAATTTCCAGATTGCAGCTACCCCCTATATTTTGGGGGTCAGAAATCCAAATTCGTCGAAAAAAAGGTATGTTTATTCAGAGAAAATACATTTTTGTATCTGAATTCGTAACTTAAAATATCCTCTGCACTAGTTAATAAGCATATTTGAAGTCTCCCCTTTGAACCATTAAGATTGAGTACTAGAACGTGATCAGATCATTAGATCAAAAGTTATTCAGTGTGGTCCATTTTTTTATTTTGCGCATTGCAAATTCAAACAAAAACGCTAAAATGAACCAAATATACAATTCCAAAAAAATTGAAACTTTCGGAAAGAAACCAATATCACATTTGAAATCCCCACGCATGAATCAGGTGAGATCAAGTACTTGTATAAATGCAAAAAAAAAAATTTGGACCCCCATTGTTATTCTTCACTTTTTAAAAATGTGTAGTGAAAGGTTAAGGCAAAAAGCATACGTCATTAACGTATCGAATCATAATCTGAAGTGTATTTCCCCTTTTTCCTACTACTCCCAACGTAAAAGAAAGTGGGGACACTCAGCATTCATTCCAGTGAATTTCTAAAAAATCCAGGTTAGGAACTCATTCTTAATTTGCATACAAACTGCAGTTCTTAGAGAGATACCGATTGCAGATCGGAAATCAGCAACGTGGAAATATATAAGATCCGTTCTAAACTCTCATGCAATAGAATTTTTTTTTTCAGTGTTATCATCTAAAATAAACCTTTAGTGTAATCTTGATTTGTATTTTTATGCAACACTATATATATCTTTTTACATAATGACACATTGTTTATTGCTATGTTTGTTTATAGAGTGTTATTGTGGAGATAATGTTAATTGTACTTTTGATGGTGACAGAAAAATTTGTGGTTGTGAATCCGGGTATGAAGAAGCAAATGGCTTTTGTAAAGGTGAATGAATACGTATTATTATTTTGATCATAATAAAGTCAAGTTATCTTTTTATGCAGTGTATAAAAATTTCATTTTTTATCCACGCTTTCACAGGAGCTTGAAAATTTTGAGAAGCGCGAATAAAATTAGACATGCCTCGATATTGTAATATTTATGAAATAACTACTAAATATTTTTTTAAAAGACGATATAGCGAAACAAGAAATCTCCTCTTTAACTTCCTTAAACGATTAAGACGTATCTTATAGAAGGAAATTTGTATCTACCGAAAAGATCTATCCGCAAAATTACCAGCCTCTTTTTGCATTAATAAAGAGATGTCAACTTGTTCCGTTTTGTAAAAAAAAAAAAAAAAAATTCTAGTTTTAACAAACTTTAGTTATTTTCAGTTGAGTATTTTTCATTTTAAGTAATTTTTTCACCATTATATCAAAAATCCTAAGTATAATTCGAAATATAATTTTATTATAATTATCTCATGGTGACTCTTTTAAAGAATAAGACTAATTCTTATCCTTAATGTTTTACTATTTAATTCGACTGATTTATTAGTATTTTGACAGGATGTGAAGCAGAATGCAAAAAGTTCGTTTTTAAATAAAAAAAAAGTGGTAAGTTATTTACTTTTATTTCAATGACAGTGTTCTAGCTTAAAAACACACATATTATATGACGCAAAAAAGCATGCGCGAAATTGGTTCAAAAGTATCACACAGAACTAAGTGGTACATCAGATAGTACATTTAAGGGTAAATGTCTTACAACTTTTTTTATAAGGGCATCTCTTGCATTCTTGTATAATGGTTAGTGCTCTTTCGGAGACAGAATTTTCCGGTAGACTTATTATATCTCCTACTACTGAAAAGGCCGGTAGTGGGATGAGCGTTTAAATACAATTTTCAGTAGATCACCGAAATCAAATATTTTTTTCCCCAATGCCCTGGAGAATGATCTTTCGTCAATACAGGCATCTGAAGGGCAGATTTGTTGGCCACTTTCCTATGGGCACCATATTAGGTAGGCCAACGTTGCTCCCACTGTAAGGACAGATAGTATAGAGAATGAAATAACATCCATGTGTTGCACAGGATGCGAGGCCAGTGCCCCGACCCCTACACAAGTCAGTCGACTAGAAGCCAAACACAGACGTGCCAACTTTTAATCCCTTCCATTATAATTTTCCCCAGTGGTATTAAAATGGAATTAAAACTTCAATTTTAAGCAAACAAATACGTTGCATTTGAAAAAACTCAACCATGATGGTACCGCATATTAATATATAAGCTTAATTTTTGTAAGAATAGTGGTGATCAAAATCATTTAAAAATTAAATTTATAAAAGAAAAAATAGTATATATTTACTACCACTTTAAATATGAAAATAAAATCTTCCGCAAAATGCGGGAGAGTTGGCAGGTATGCAAACATTACTTGTTGTAGTCTGTGCGTGTGAGGGTGCCTTTTTTGATCAGTTTGCGAAGAGACCGAGGATGCGGCATTGGTTATCGTTAAACTGTTCTACCCTATAGTGTTCGACTTCATGAGTAGGTTGTCATGCTACCTACCCCTCTGCAGAAGATCAAAATTGTGACAGCATGTCTTCGGATCATTTTTAAGGATGTTTCCCAGATCACCGGCAATATCTCATCATGTAGTTCTAATGCGACGTAAATTAAGCACTACTACTACCACTATTAAAAATTTTCAAGGCCCTGTTTTTATTACTTCGTGGGAGCCTTGTTTTTGCTACTTCGTTTTCATGTTTGTGTAGATGGAATCACACCATCCAAATTTGACCACTTTCCCACTAGCTAGAGTATTTAAGCTTGTACTAGAGCTCGGCTGCGTCTCATGACAATACAAATTTCATACATTTTCGGATCACTAAAAAACAATTTTATTGCTGAATTATATTGACTCTGTTACATTGTATAGTTTATCATAATCGACATTTTGGTTACTTTTAGACACGTTAGAGTTTTAAGTACTGGATAATGTGAAAGATTTTTACTCGTTTCCTAACAAATGTAATCAAAATCGGATGTCTTCTGTGATCGAGGGCCATTGTACTTCAACCGAAAAATTTGAAGCGTGTGAAGATTGCGAGTTCAAATGTAACTTTGAACCTGGTAATATCTTTACGATGTCCTTAAGTAAATTATGGTATCTACTCTTTAACTTGAGAAGGGCTTGTAAGCTATTGTTTTCATGTTGAGCATACAAACCTACATTTGCATGAGTTATATTAAATAACTAAAATAAAAATGATGCACAATACCTTTTTAAAGCAGTAGCAGATAGCGAAAAAAAGTAATCTAGTTAATATAAATAAATATGCTTTCTAGTTAATATAAGCAAATACGCTTTATCACATTTTTTATTTATACAAACTTTTCACAATCTAGCAATAACTGTGTTAGGGCATTGATTAATTAAGTTTACCTCTCTTATAAGTGTTCTTTGATTATTTTTAGACCTCAACGAATGCGAGAAACATAATCCATGTAAACAATCAATGACGTGCATCAATTTGCCTGGTTCATATGCATGTATTTGTAAAGAAGGTTATAAGACTGTTATAGTAGATACGTTAATTAAGCCATTAGAAATTTGCCAAGGTAATAAAATTGAATTTCTCAATGATATATTTTATTCTGAATTCGTAACACTGTTTGTATACAAAATAAATTTAAGAATGCTTAATAATTTCGTCGATACATTATTTTATACGTTACAATATCAAGTATGTTTCGATGCTTTTGATTTTATATAGTATCAATGTATTTGAATTAATAATTTATAGATATTGACGAGTGCGAAAATTCTTCCGCCTGTGCTCAGCCTAACACGTTTTGCGAGAACACTATAGGTAGCTACAACTGTATTTGTGAATCTGGATTTGTGTCTCGAGGGATGCTGGATTCTTCTTTATTCTGTGAAAGTAAGTATAGCTTTTAAATTTATCTATAAGTTCCTAATAATAAAATGATATTGTGCTTGTTACCTCCAAAAATTACATAAAATTTGTACTTATTTGAAATTAAAAAAAATGCAATCACTTAGTTTTTTTTAAACTTTTCTTTTTTTTCTTTTTTTTTTACATCGCGGCTGGCAAATATATGTTGGATGTCAGGTTTCTTATTGATTGACAGCGTACCTGCATTTCATTGTAGAATACTCAGTCTACGTGAAACCCTGGGGTTCTGTGGAGGAGTTAAAGGGGTTCTGTGAGTTACCACTCTTTAAATACCAATGATGAGTCTTGAAACCTCTGATTATATTTAAATACAACCTATACTTCACAATTTATTGGATCTTATGGTTTCGTTGATGAAATTATTTGAAGTAAAATGTCAATGAAATGGGTCTTTTTTTTAAAAGGAAAATATAATGTTTCTAATAACAATATATTTGGAAAAAAAATTCGAAAAGAACAAGCAGTTATAAAATATTGCATCAGTATTCCCTATTGCACTTTTAAAATCAGTATAAACTGACTAAATTCTTTTATGAAGAAATTTGTTTTCCCAATGACCATTTTCAACGTTTATAGCTATTCTCTTCAGCTTTCATTTCGAAGTAAACCAAAATTCAGCCTATTTTATTCTTTTTCAGTTTGTGTATATACATCAAAGACAAATTCATAACTGGGCCAGATATAGCACAATGCCTGAGAATTTAATCATCGGACTTAAAACCTAATTTAAGATTATTAATGATAAAACGATGAAAAATCTTCATTCATCTAAGTAAATATTTTAAATATAGTCTTTTATGGGTAATAACGCTCACAATTATTTTAATGAACTTTGTCTATAAAGTTGGGGTTCTGCCAAAAAGAGGTCTATTATTGAGGGTTCTGTTGTCCAAAAAATTGGGAACCACTGCCCTAGATTGTCCGGTTCTCATGTAGAGTGTGAGAATAGAGGGACAACAAATAAAACCCCATTGGATTCCAAAACATTGTGATATTTATGGCAACGAACAGACACATATGCTGGTTAAAAAGGACATTCAAATAATTTAACAACCCAATATTTATAACTCATTTCATTCCATTAAATTTTGTAGTAATAATCTGATGAGGCAAAATTGAAACAGCATAGCGAACTTCACGTATTTCTTCGAAAAGTTGAAGAAACATCTTGGATCGATATATTATGTATAAATGTCGTGAAAAAGCTGTCACGGAATTTAGACTTGAGGTGGATCATGGACTCATGATTACCTGGCGAAACACCTTTATCATATCGGTGCGTTTGTAGTCCCAAATTGTCCACTCTATAGGGGAAACGAAATCAGGGAGAGTCTTATGGGATATCTCGGCACTGCTTGTAGACTCCGAGAAGAAATTGATGCAGAGATGCCAACTTACTCCGCATGTAAAAAAAAAAAATCGAGTAGTAACGAAATTTAAGTTATTTTCAATAGTAACTTTCATTTAAAAGAATTTTTCCATCACTACATATCAAAAGTTCTAAGCGTCATATGAAATGCAACTTATTTCCATTTATCTCGTGGTAAAACTTTTCAAGAGTGGAAGTAATTATTCTTATTCTGAAAGTTTTACTATTTAATTCGATACCAATTTTTTAACTTTTTGCCGAAAACGAAGCAGTTGGCATCCCTGAAAATATTGGAGTGCTATACATCTACTAATGGGACAAGTACTTTTTTCTCTTGCTGTATTTCTTTCTATAATTTATAATTTTAATGTTTTTTTTTAATCCATTGGAGGAAACAAAAAAAAGGTATTGTAAAGACATTCGAGTCCTGGTAAAACAGTGTAACAAATACTTTAAATTCTAATTCGTTGGTTGCAAGTAACATTTTGATCTATATAGTACATAATACAAAGTAAGAAAGAAAACAATAAAAGAAATTTAAAAATGGAAAAGTATAGCCAGGAACATCAAATTTATAAAAGCACACAGTGACAACAGCAGCGCAGAATATTTTTTTCATTGACAACATGATGACACCCCTATGAGGAAAACTCAAGTGATTAGCAGAGATGCCAACTTGCTCCGGACAGCAAATATATATTTTAAAGTGGTAGTTTATCAATGTATTATTTTATCTTTATCGCCA